GAGGTATTAGATTTGACTTATATTAAGAAAGATAGAGATAGACTTAAAAAGACTTGGTTAGAAAATACCAGAAATGATTTTTCTTTATTAGATTTAAGGAATTTTTACATACATAACACTTCAAACTATTATATTTACTTATCAAACACCTAAAGTATAATATTTACATACCTACCACTCAAATACACCCATTTCATTTAAACTACCACTCCGTCAAAACTTCGTGCCGACTCTGCATTTTTTGGTAGTGAAATCCCTTCTTTGTTGCTGGAGTGTCTAGACGGCTTTGGAATCAAGATCCACCTACTTCCATCTTCATTAATGCCATGGTAAGGCTTGTCTTCCTCCTAGGCATCATCTAGCTACACAGGCTCTTGCCAGATGGGGTCATTGTCAACGACTCCATGGCCGGCAGATTGGGGCTTCAGCTTCTCCTTATTCTTCTTCTTATTGCTTTCTATGGCTCATCAGCGCTTGACTCGTATCTCTTGAGATATTCCTTGAAGGGAAACGACATTAAAAACGTTTTCACCATTTATTAATTTGAAAACCATTTATTAATTTCAATCCATCCTCCGCCTCTCTACTCTGTAGCCGTCTTCTGCAGTGATCATAATGTGGTACCAGATAACAAACAATGCATAAAGAGGCAAGGGAACACTCCAGCAACGGTCTGCCAGCGTGGCCACTACCGCGGGAATCCTTTTGCAGCCTCCACTTCCTCGCCTAACTACCCCATCATTAGTATTTGCTTTTTATCTTAGTTATTACAGAATTGCCATTTTCATTAGTCAGCTAATATAGTCTCTACTCCCTGTAAGGAGGATCAGATTTTATTTATCAAAAACTCGTTTTCAGTGTTTTCACTGTTCTATTGCTGAAGTTATTGCAGCAGGTCTTCAGTTGCAGGTGTTCGTGAAGGAGATTCCGCCGGGTTCCACACCAGCTGGTATCAGAGCCTCGCACGAACGGGCACTGTGATGGCCGAAAGCAGCCGCCGAGCCGCTCCTGACGATGATCGGAGCTCAGATGATTGGAGAACCGCCATCAACAGTGTCTCCAGGGAGATAACATATCTCTCTGCGGAGTTCAGGCGATTCGCAGTTGAGACTAAAAGGGACATTCAGGCATTACGGCAGAACGGTGGCCTACCCACCGGCGGTCATCGATTGCATCGCGAGGACACCCCGTCGATACAACGGGAGCGCGCAACGGCCGAGAGAATGCCCAGTGGACTCCCAATGATGTACTCTGATTACTCCGACTCAGACGCTGACGACGGACAACAAGGAGGAATCGAGCCTATCGAACAAACAGATCGTGGATATGGAGATCGTCCTGGCGTCAGACGAACTAGAGATCGGCACGCTAATCCTCAAGGTGAGTTTCGTGTTAAACTTGACATTCCCTATTTTGAAGGGCGCCTACACATTGAAGATTATCTAGACTGGGAGAGGGCGGTCGAAACATTTTTCGATTACATGGAGATACCCCCTGAGAAACAAGTGAAGTATGTCGCTTGCCGATTGAAGGGGGGCGCCAGTGCCTGGTGGATGCAATTACAACAGAACAGACATCGCGAAGGGCGAGGAGCTGTTCGGAACTGATACCGGATGAAGCAACTAATGCGGGGTCATTTTCTTCCAACTGATTATGAACAAATGTTGTATCTCCAATACCAGCATTGTACACAAGGGGCGCGATCCGTCGGTGACTATACCGAAGAATTTTACAGGTTGAGTGCGAGGAACAACCTGAGGGAATCAGATAACCAATTAGTTGCTCAATACACGGGTGGATTGAAGGAATCCTTGCAGGACAAATTGCAATTGAATTCGTTATGGACCCTTTCGCAGGCCGTGAATTTCGCGCTTAAGGCGGAGTTGCAATTGTCCAAGCAATCAAAGAATTACTCTTCTCGGCGCCAATTCGCTGAAAATTCGAGTGAGCCTCGAAATTATACGCCGTCCAAACCTGGATCATCTGGATCGTTAACAAGCGCCACTGCAGCTCCTATCCCAGATAACAGGGCATATTCAAAACCACGACAACTTCCCAGGGACAACCCCTATGCTAAGCCCACAAATCTAAAATGTTTTCGTTGTTTTCAGCCTGGCCATAAATCAAACGAGTGTCCGACGAGACCTCAAATTCAAATAGTGGAAGGAGACAATAATGAGGCAGTTGAACGAAGTCCTGAAATCACTGAAGATGTTTTTGAAGAGCTCATGCCTGACGATGGAGAGGCCGTTGTCTGCATATTGGAACGACTGTTGTTAGCCCCTCGACAACCTGTAACGTCACAACGAAATGCCATTTTTTGCACTCGTTGTACCATCGGAGGAAGGGTATGTGAGCTATTGATCGATAACTGCTGCACTGAGAACGTGGTATCTCGGTCCCTAGTGCAGGCATTGCAACTGAAAACTACAAAGAACCCACAGCCGTATAAAATTAGCTGGGTTAAAAAGGGGGTTGAAATCTCTATAGTTGACATGTGTAGGGTCAATTTTTCTATCGGCAAAAGCTACACCTGCGAAGTTCTATGTGATGTCATCGACATGGATGTGTGCCACATGATTTTGGGCTATCCGTGGCAGTACGACAACGGGGTTGTGTATGATTGTCGCCAAAACACGTACTCATTTGAATGGAAGGGTCGGAAATTGAGATTGTTACCACATACCCCGGTGCCCAATACCAATCCCGTTAAGGACAAAGCTGTCCTTAACATTGTATCAGGTGCTACACTCCTTGCTGATGCTCACTCATATATGTATGCTCTGGTGTCCGTCGACCAATTCCCCAGCCAAGCGCAATGCAATCAGCCACCGCAGATTGCTAAGCTACTTCAGGAGTTTCACGATATCATGCCATCCGAGCTACCACCAGATCTTCCACCTATGCGCATGATACAACATCAAATTGATTTGGTACCCAGAGCCAACTTACCAAATCTTCCACATTATCGGATGAGTCCGAAGGAACACGATTTGTTGCAAGAGATGGTTGATGATTTGCTTAGACAAAAATTAATCCAACCCAGTCTCAGTCCTTGTGCAGTGCCGGCCTTATTAGTTCCAAAAAAAGACAACAAATGGTGCATGTGCATTGATAGCCGGGCTATCAACAAAATCACTACAAAATTCAGATTCCCTGTTCCTCGTATTGAAGATATGTTGGACAAGCTCACAGGTTCGCGGGTCTTCTCCAAGCTCGACCTCCGCAGCGGGTATCATCAAATCCGCATCCGGTTTGGGGATGAATGGAAGACGCCATTCAAGACCAAGCAAGGATTATTCGAGTGGCGTGTGATGCCCTTCGGATTATGTAACGCTCTCGCCACTTTTATGCGCCTAATGAACGAGGTACTCAAGGAACACCTCAACCGTTTTTGCGTTGTTTATTTCAATGACATCTTGATATACAGCCCTTCATTTGAGGATCATATCAGACACCTCACTAAGGTGTTACAGACATTACGAGAACACCAACTTTACTTGAATTTGTCTAAGTGCGAATTTGCTACAGCTCAAGTTTATTTCTTGGGTTTCATTGTTTCGGCTGAAGGAGTGGCTACTGGTCCGCGCAAAATCTCAGCTATACGTGATTGGCCAATCCCCCGCACTATGTTTGACGTTCGAAGCTTTCATGGACTCGCTAATTTCTATCGACGTTTCATTAAAGGATTTAGCATCATCATGGCACCCATCACAGACTGTTTAAAATGTAAACAGCTGAATTGAAACGAGGCCTATCAGCGGAGCTGGGATACCATGAAGGAAGCTTTAAGCACTGTGCCCGTTCTAGCACTACCAAATTTTGACCTCCCGTTCCAAGTGGATACCGATGCGTCCACTATCGGCATTGGTGCAGTTCTGTCTCAGTCCGATCGGCCGGTGGAATTCTTTAGTGAGAAACTTAGCAGTGCAAGACAAAAGTGGACTGCGTATGAGCAGGAGCTATACGCGGTCGTCCGAGCCTTAAAACATTGGGAGCATTATCTCTTGCACCAAGATTTCATCCTGAGCAGTGATCATAAGGCTTTACAATTCCTTAACAGTCAGAAGACGATCAATCGTATGCACACGAGGTGGATCCTTTTTCTACAGAAATTTACTTTTGTTTTGAAGCATAAGTCGGGAAACCAAAACAGAGTCGCAGACGCCCTTAGTAGACGCACTGCCTTAGTGACTCAGCTCCAGACCGAGTTAATGGGTCTCGAATGTCTTCAAGAACTATACTCTGAAGATCCCGATTTTGCACTTGTTTGGCAACAGTGTCTGGCATCACAACCTGTCACCGATTACTCTTTGCGTCATGGTTATCTTTTCAAAGGTAATGCCTTATGTATTCCCGACTCATCTTATAGGCAGCAGCTCATCAAAGATGCTCACGCCGGCGGGTTGGCAGCACATTTAGGACGTGAGAAAATGATCCAGCAGCTCCAAGCACGATTCTTTTGGCCTAAACTTCATCGTGACGTTTCTCGATTCGTGGAACGTTGTGCTATATGCCAGGAATTCAAAGGTAATAAGCAAAATACCGGCTTATATTCTCCATTACCAGTCCCTGATTCTATATGGGAAGATATTAGTATCGACTTTGTACTCGGACTGCCACGAACGCAACGAGGAGCTGACTCCATTATGGTCATTGCTGACTGATTCTCGAAGATGGCTAATTTTGTTCCCTGTCGTAAATCTCTAGATGCTGTCAATGTGGCTCGGCTGTTCTTCAACGAGATTGTGCGGTTACATGGGCTACCGCGCAGTATAACTTCTGATAGGGACGTCAAATTTGTCAGCCATTTTTTGCGAGAGCTTTGGAAACGCCTTCATACTTCACTGAATTTAAGTTCTACGTATCATCCCCAGTCGGATGGACAGACTGAAGTCGTTAACAGGACACTTGGTAATATGCTACGTTGCCTTGTGCAGAACCAACCAAAACAGTGGGAAAACTCATTAAGTCAGGCAGAGTTTGCATACAACTCAATGCCTAATCGCTCGACCGGACGGTGCCCCTTCGCCATCGTCTACACCAAAGCCCCCAATCACCTGTTTGACATAGCCATTCTTCCAAAATGTGCTAATAAAACTGCTGCCGCCTTAACCGACCAGTGTCAATCAGTTTTAGATGAAGTTCGTATGAAACTTATTACATCCAATACCAACTACAAGAAGGCCGCCGATATTCATCGTCATCAAGTTTCTTTTCAGCCCGGCGACCTTGTACTCATATGACTCAGGAAAGACTGTTTTCCCACCGGTGCCAACTCGAAGTTGGCCCCTCGCAAATATGGACCAGTCCCCATTCTTCAGCGCATTAACGACAATGCCTATGTCGTTGATCTACCAGACTCTATGTAGACTTCCAAGACGTTCAATGTATGTGATCTGTTTCCATACCACCCGTCGGATGATATCGAGGGAGCACATATTCAGGTGGAACCTGAATTTTCCACAGTGGAGGGTACTTGATGTGGTACCAGATAACAAACAATGCATAAAGAGGCAAGGGAACACTCCAACAACGGTCTGCCAGCGTGGCCACTACCGCGGGATTCCTTTTGCAGCCTCCACTTCCTTGCCTAACTACCCCATCATTAGTATTTGCTAACTAATTCTTAAACCCATATTAATTAGAGAAACAATCTATCCACATTTGGATCACATGTAAGGCTAAAAGAATCTTCAACCATCAAATTCAAAGATAAATACTAGCACATTAATTCAAAGTTATTACAGAATTGCCATTTTCATTAGTCAGCTAATATAGTCTCTACTCCCTGTAAGGAGAATCGGATTTTATCTATCAAAAACCCGTTTTCAGTGTTTTCACTATTCTATTGCTGAAGTTATTGCAGCAGGTCTTCAGTTGCAGGTGTTCGTGAAGGAGATTCCGCCGGGTTCCACACTAGATCAGGAATCTCATGATTCCTCTGACAACCAGATTTAATCTTCACCATTGCTTTTCAACAAATTGTTTCTAGCATTTCGTAATTTGTTTTCTCTGCTAATGTTTATATAAATGAAATTGCGAGCCACTGTAGTATGTAACCATGCCTTGAATACATCAATCTCTATTTTTAATCTCTTCTTTGCTTCTTCGTTTTCCTCTACTGTTCAGCTATGTTTTGTAACAAGCTTGTCTTATCACAAGAAGCCAAGGCATTTTAACAGATGGAAGAGGACGCAACCATCAGTCCGTCTTCTTCTTCACGCGCCAATAGTAGCGCTGGCAACAAAATCCTATTTCTCATCAACTCGTCTTTTCTTCACACGCCGCTGTTGCCGTAGATTGCCTTCTCCAGCGACCTCTTGTCTTGACTTCCTGCTCCAGTGGCGTTGCAGGTTTCAGGTAAACACTCAGCGACGAAGAAGGGATTCCACGCACGAAAGGTCGCTATTCAAGGAGTTTTGACTTAATGGTAGTTTAGATGAAACGGAATGTATTTGAGTGGTAGGCATGTAAATACTATACTTTGGGTGTTAGATAAGTAAATATAATAGTTTGATGTGTTATGTATGTAAAAAGCCCTATATTTAAATGAGAATTTGACTTTTAACATAACACAATGACGAAAAAGGATTCATGGAGCCGATACCACGTAGTGGGACAATGGCTTGATGTTGTTGTTGTTGTAGTATTCAAAAGTTGCTTTAAGAAGCATTAAATAAAGCCGTCTCAAATGAAGCCTTAGATTTAGTTTGGGACGGCTTTCTTTCTAATTCTTAAAACAACTTTGTAGTATAAAATTAAAAAATTTTGTACAAAAAAATTGCTTTAAAAAATAAAAAGAAAGCCGTCTCAAACGAAGCCTTAGTTTAATTCATTCACTACATAGCTAATTATAGTGGGATGAATCTTTTTTTTTTTTGTATATTTATGTAATACTTTTTGGAGG